GAAATTTTCTACAAATCTACAGCACAAGCAAGTTTGTAACCTGTGGGTTAGTACGAGGACCGTGTTCATGTATTCTCTCTATCTCTTAAGCTTCGTCCAGAGTTCTTTATTTTTGTCTGCTGCCAATGTCGTCTCGCATGCCTGCACCCTCGCATGCACGCTGCCCGCATGCCATGTGCCATGCCATAGTCACAGACCCCTTGCTTGGGCCTCACCCAAGGCCAAACTCCAAACACAACCAGAGCTAGCCAAAGAAGCACTTCCTGGGCAGGGCTGCTAGCTCTCCTGCCTCCAGTGTGGGCCGGCTCCCGCAGGGCCCAAAGGCTACATCTCAGTCAGCCTGGGGCTCCTCCCAGGGTCTCACATTCAAGGGCGATTATATTTTAAAAAGAAAAACAGAAAAATGTTTATCACAAAATCAACCCTCACTTCACAGGGTCTGTAAGCCACTCACCGAACTTTGCTTTTCCCGAGAAAGGGTCCCTTCCCAGCCCAGGCACAACAGGGTTGGGCGGGCTCTGATGCCCAGGGCCTCCTCTGGGAGCCTTCCATCTGGGCAGTGGAGCCATAAAAGGAATCAAGAAGAGGGCATCCACTTTTTTACAGGAAGAAGGGACTCATGCATAAAAGGGGGTGGGGAGTTCCTGATTTTGAAAATAATTGATTTGTAGCTTCTCTTCTATCAAAACCAACACATCTTCTTTCTGCCAATCCTCTCTCCCCTCCAGACACCTCTCTGGTTCGGGACAAATCCCTCCCTGGGGACGTGCCCCACCCATGTGCCAGCTGAGCTCAGGAACCCCTGCCTGCCCCCCGGGTGGGGCTGCAGCTCTGGCCTCCCAGGCCCATCCTCAACAGCTACCCCAGCCAACATCAAGGCCACAAGGGGAACCCAGCCTATGAGGCAGGAAGCCAGGATGCAGAGAGGAACCTGGCCCCTCACCACTGTGCGGGCTGGGGCAGCAAGGCCAACAGTTTCCACTTTACCGGGGCAGGGCATGGTGCTGGCACCCAGGTTCAGCATGGCAGAGCTGGCCAACAGCCTGTGGTCCTTGAGCTGCCTCCAGTTCCAAGAGTCCTACAGCCCCCGGCACTGCCTCTGCCCATCTGCCTTTAACAGACTCCAGGGCTGCTTCTGCCATGCAGCGAAGGCTTTGTCTGTTTCAAAGTTTGAGACTCAACTTGAGGGACTGTTTTTGACAATCCCCACTGACCTTCCCTCCTCGTGGTGCCCTGGCCCTGCACCCAGCCTGACCCAGGGCCAGCTTTGCCTAGTGAGGCTGGAAGGAGCACCAGGATCTGCTGTCTGCTGTCAGCCCCTCCTGGTGCCAGTGCCCTGTTGCTGTGCGTTGTCATCCATTAAGCTGCAAGAGGGACCAAGAGAGGACCACGCAGCCAGCCAGATGCCTGGCCCTGTGCTGGCGCAGACAACGCTGCAGAGCCCGGGGACCCTGGCCCTAGGACGTGTGTCCGTGGTGACACTGGTGTGTCTGAACCCACCTGGCCTGGAAGCACCATCTGTGCCC